ATGGCAGAGGTGGACTGTGTGAGAGGGAAAGAGAAAGAGAGATAGATGCAGAGACAGGGGTGACAGGTCTCTAGTTTCTATTCTTAGAAGGGCACTAATCCCATCAGGAAGGCCCCACCCTCTTGACCTCATCTAACCCTGATTGTATCTTAAAATCTCCATTTCCAAATACCATCACAGTGGGAGCTAGGGCTTCAACATATGAATTTTGAGGGGACACATTCAGTCCTTAACAGCAACCTACTTAGCAGAGCATTTCAATTTAAAGGCGTGGTTCTTAACCAAGGGGACTTTGTCCTGCTTACCCAGGGGACGTGTCTCCTAAAAATTTCTGGTGACATTTCTGATTATCCCACTGTAAGGGAGCTGCTACTGAAATCTAGTGAGTAGAGGCAGATGTTTATAAACATCTTACAGTGCACAGAAAGTCCTTCCACACCAAAAAATTATCTTGCCCTATATGGCAACAGTGCCCAGGCTGAGAAAACATGGTCTAAAATTAAGATCCTTAGGGCAGCAGTTCTCAACCTGGGGTTGCGATCCCTTTGTAACAATGAAAATAAATTGCGGTATTAGGAAGGTTGAGAACCACTGCTTAAGGGGAAAGGAAGGGATTCCAAAATCAGACTATGTCCATCCAGAGCCCTGCAGTTGGTCTCACAGCCTTTTTAGATGGCTTTAGGAAGAATACCTTCTCCCCTTCCGCTGGGCCTCATCTGCCTGGCAGACTGTCTTTGTGCAACTCTTTTTATTTCTCTGCACTTTGTGAGCTACGAAAACCCATCAAGTCAGTGCATCTTATCATGATAAGATATTATCCCTGAGCATCCCCGCCCCTGGTGGGCTTGTGTGCAATGTTTTTCAAACAAGCCTGGCTCTTTTGGCCACAGAGAAATGTGAGATGACATTTTCTAAAACTGTCACTTTGTAAAAATGCCAAGACTAATCTCCAGGCACAAAGAAGAACGTTGTGGAAATCAAAATTGACTCAAGAAGTCGTGGCCAGCCAAGGCCGGATTTAAACAGCACGCGCTGGGAGCTTGTGTCATTGTATTGTGGTTGTTTTCCATTTAATACTGTTTACAGAAGACGAGATTTTTAGAAAGTTTCTCCAGCTAAATAATGACCTGTTACTAACTTGAAGGTTGCAAATAATCTGCTAGCTTTAGAAAGTGCCTGAGCCTTATATAGTCTGTTGGTGTCCATCTTACTTATACAACATCTTTGGCTGGGTGTGGGCTGCTAAGAAGAGGCGGGTTGATTGCATTTTCCATTGAAGAAATCAGTATCTGCCAGGGTGCTTCAATATAATAACCCTGTCTTAAAGGGCTCCTCTTTTATTCAAATGCCTTTTTTAGAAATTTTTTAAAATTCGAAAGGTGGGGACATGTGGTGGACACATTTTTGAGTGTGTACATTACACCCTCTGGATGAGGGGCTCGATTGCCCCAACTACATCTTTACTTTACTTTAGAAACATGAACAATGTAACCTAATCATTTGTACCTTCATATTAATCTGAATTAAAAAAAATAGGGATAATGTTCTTGAAAAAATTTTGAATTAAAAAATAAAAATAGGGTGGCGCCTGTGGCTCAAAGGAGTAGGGTGCTGGCCCTATATGCTGGAGGTGGTGGGTTTGAACCCAGCCCCAGCCAAAAACTCCAAAAAAATTAAAAATAAAAATAAAAAAAAACCAAGTGCATTTAAAATGCTCAGAAGATGGCTCGGCGCCCGTAGCACAGTGGTTACGGTGCCAGCCACATATACTAGGCTGGTGGGTTTGAACCTGGCCTGGGCCAGCTAAACAACGACAACCACAACAAAAAAAATAGTCAGGCGTATTTTACTGTGACAGTCACCTGTACACCCAGTTACTTGGAGGCTGAGGCAAGAGAATCACTAAAGCCCGAGAGTTGCAAGCTGTGATGCCACAGCACTCTACTGAGAGCTACATAGTGAGACTCTGTCTTAATAAAATAAAATAAAATGCTCTGCTGGACGCGGTGGCTTTTGCCTGTAGTCCCAGATACTCAGGAGGCTGAGACAGGAGGATCCCTTGAGTCTAGGAGTTCTGGGTTGTAGTGTGCTATGCCTATCAGGTGTCCACACTAAGTTCAGCATCAATATGGTGACCTCCCAGGAGTTGGGGACCACCAGGTTGCCTAAGCAGGGTTGAATGACCCAGGTCAGAAATGGAGCAGGTCAAAACTCCCATGCTGATCTGTAATGGGATCACACCTGTGAATACCACTGCACTCTAGCCTGGGCAACATAGCAAGACTCCGTCTCTAAAAAAAAAAAAAGAAAGAAAGAAAAGAAAGAAAGAAAAAGAAAATGCTCAGAAAAAATAGACAGAAGTTTGACCTCTTTAAGAAAAAGAAACAGTCAAAAACTGTAATCAAGTGTAAAGAGAAGAAGTTTACAGAGCTCTGGTTCAGCTAATTCCTGGGATCTGTGAAGCAGGCACTGATGCAGGGGGGAGTCTGGTTGCTAGGCAGTGGTTCCCACGGGGAGGAAAGCATCAGTTGGTTGGCTGTAGACTACATAAAAGACGGGATAGGTCAGATGGAAGAAGGAAGCTCAAATACCCTTCCTCTGTCTTCTGTTTCTGAACTGGTGAAGAAAAGACACAGAAATTAAGGCTGGAAGAGTGATCACAGGGCTCCTGTGTGATGAGCAGGGCTACTGTACGCAAGGCAGGAGCCAACTAATTATCAAGATGAGAGGGACTTTTAGATAATGCTGGAAATGGGTTTGGGGTCAGCTAAGTGAAACCTGGAAGCAGTGGAAAGCAAGCAAGGGAGGTTTTCCTGAGAGATGAAAGGAAGACAAACGTTAGCAGAAGGTGAGGGCAGTTGAGGTTCCTGTCAAAATGCTGTCCTCACATCTCTGGCTATTCCCACTAGTAAAAAGGGGAGTTAATCAGCCAAATGCCTGGGTTCATATCCTAGCTTCATCACCTTGAAGGTGTGTTTCCAAAAGCAAGCTATGTACATTCTCAGTTTTCTCATCCTTAAAATGGGCATAATTACATTCCCTACTCCTAAGGTTGTTGTGAGAACTAAGAACATACGTATATAGCACTTAAAGCAGTGTTTGCACATAGTAGGCCCAGTGTAACTGCTAGTTACTTCTTCTTTGTTTTTCTTTCCTTTTTCTCTTCCAGATCAGAAACAGAAGGTCTGAGCTCTTCATACATTCTAGTATCAGGCATTCTCTTGTAACTGAGATTACAGCTTTGTAAAGTTGTAGCAGTCACTGGATTTGTTCATAATTTGTGTTGTGTATCAGTTAGGATGAGTAGATGATGCTTGGTAACAAACAGTCTTTATTTTACTTTTATTTTTATTTTTTGTAGAGACAGAATCTCAGTTTAATGCCCTTGGTAGAGTGCCATGGCATCACACAGCTCACAGCAACCTCCAACTCCTGGGCTTAGGTGATTCTCTTGCCTCAGCCTCCTGAGTAGCTGAGACTACAGGCACCAGCCAGAATGTCCAGCAATTTTTTTGTTGCAGTTTGGCCAGGGCCGGGTTTGAACCTGCCACCCTCGGTATATGGAGCTGGCACCCTACCCACTGAGCCATAGGCACTGCCCAACAGTCTTTAGTGGCTCAGCACTACCCAAGCCTGTATCTTTGGTTCATGTGTAATGAGGGTTAGGGATGGGGCTAGAGGCCTGTATTCATAATACTCATAACAGAGGCCTTGGCTGTAGGTGGTTTTACCTAAACACATCTGTCTTTTGAACCTCAGCTCATGCTAAATTCTCCTTTGCCCACTCTGCTGCTCCCAGACATGCTGTGTTTCCAGAATGCCAAGCTCTTTTCCTACCTTATCTTCTCTGCCTAGAATATTCTTGCCATTGGTTACTTCCATCTCATCCTTTCAGGGGTCGTGAAAATTTTTAAACAGGGGGTCAGTTCACTGTCCCTCAGACTGTTGGAGGGCCAGACTGCAGGCCCCGGGACGAGTCAGCTGCTAAGCAGGACAGGCAGTGGTGGCAAAAACACCCGGCAGGCTGGATAAATGTCCTCGGTGGGCCACATGTGGCCCGCGGGCTGTAGTTTGAGGACACTTGGATATAGGAAATACTCAAAAAAAAAATTGTGGCATAAATGAAAGAGTGTCTATCTTCTCCCATTACAATTTACACTCTCCCAATAGGGGCTTTATCTGCCTTGTTTATCAGCAGTCTTTTGGCCCAGGCGAAGTACACAGCATGTATCTGTTGAGTGAATAAAGAGTGTCGGGAGGCTTGCCGCCCATAGCACAGTGATTATGACGCCAGCCACATGCACCGATATTGGTGGGTTCGAACCCAACCTGGGGCAACTGAACGACGCAGTGGCTCATGCTTGAAATCCTAGCACTCTGGGAGGCTGAGGCAGGCAGATTGCTTGAGCTTAGGAGTTGGAGACCAGTCTGAGAAAGAGCGAGACCCCATCTCTCCTAAAAATTGAAAAACTGGGTGGCACCTGTGGCTCAAAGGAGTAGGGTGCCGGCTCCACATACCAGACGTGGCGGGTTCAAACCCGGACCCGGCCAAAAACTGCACAAAAATAAATAAATAAAATAAACAAATAAAAACAGAAAAATTAGCTGGCGTTGTGGCAGGTGCCTGTAGTCTCAGCTACTCAGGAGGCTGAGGCAGGAGGATTACCTGAGTTCAGGAGGCTGAGGCAGGAGGATCACCTGAGTTCAAGAGTTTGAGGTTGCTATGAGCTGTGATGCCACAGCACTCTTACTCAGGGTGACAGAGTGAGACTCTGTCTCAAAAAAAAAAAAAAAAGAAAAAGAAAAGAAAAGAAAAGGTGAATACTAACTAAAAAACAACAAAAAAAAAAGTTTAAGACGTTTCAATTCCACAGAGCAGCTTTTTCTCCCCCTTTTATTTTTGGGGAATGCTCCCGCTCTGCTGGCCCTGTGAGCACTCACCCGGTGAACTCACAGCCTGCTGCCTAAACCTCTCTCCCCTTCTACCCACCTCCCCTCAGGCCTTGACGGGATCCAGTGCTCTCTGCCCATGGAGAACAGGAGGATACCCCTGCAGGAGCTGTCGGAGGCCAGCTTCAGCGAGTGCAAGTTCAGCCTGTCGCTCACAGACCTGTTCATCATCGTCTTCTCGGGCGTGGCCGTGTCCATCGCTGCCATCATCTCCAGCTTCTTCCTGGCCACCGTGGTACAGTGCTTCCAGCGGTGTGCCCCCAACAAGGACACAGAGGACGAGGACGAGGATGAGGACGACTGAGCTACCTCTTTCCGCTCCCCATTCTCTATAACTCCTCTCTAGGAAGAGAGGGAAAACACTGCCCATTGTCAGTGAACAGAGCGTCCTGACCCCTGGGTGCCCCAGTGGGACCCTCGATCTCGGGGTTTAGAATCAGTAGAGCAGAGCCCCAGGAAGGAGCCAGGAAGTCATTCCTGGAGCAGAGCCTCCCTCTCAGATCGAGGTTTGTGTTAGGGAGAAGATGACCGAGTCAGGCTTTATAGCTGATGGCCGAAAACCTCCCTGGGAGATGTGACAACTTGCAGCTTTTGACTATAAAGATGATTTTGTGCCATTCTTTCTCTGCCCTGGACTGGGAGGTCCTGAAGTAGCCCCTTCCTCCCAAGAAACAGCAGCTCAAATAGCAGGGCTAGAAATTCAGATCATTCTCCATGGGAGCAAGAAGATCTCCCTTTCCATAATGGGCCTCAGTATCCTTGGGATGTTACACCGAGAACCAATCAACCCGTGTGCAAGGGGCGGGTGCAGTGACTCAGACCTGTAATCACTATGCAGGCTGAGGCAGGAGGACTGCTTGAGGCCAGGAGTTTGAGACCAGCCTGAGCAACATAACGAGATCCTGTCTCTGCAAAAAGGATTTAAAAATTAACTGGGTGTGGTGATGGGTGCCTGTAGTCCCCAGCTACTTCATAGGCTCAGGTGGGAGGATTGTTTGAGCCCAGGAGTTGGAGGCTGCAGTGGGCTATGCTCACGCTTTGCATTCCAGCGTGGGCGACAGAACAAGGCTCTGTCTCTAAACACAAAACCAAACCAAACCAAAAAATCCATGTGCAGTAGACTGTTTGTGTCCCTCCCCTGCCCCCAAATCCGTATATTGAAACCTAATCCCCAGTGTGACGGTCTTTGGAGGTGACTGGGTTTAGATGAGGTCGTGGCTGTGGCCTGCAACCCAGGATTAGTGACCTCATAAAGAGGCCCTAGAGAGCCCCTCACCCCTTCTACCACTTGAGGACTGGGTGAGAAGTCAGCTTTCTATGAATCAAGAAGTGGGCCGGCACTCAGATCTCAGACTTACAGCCCCCAGAACTGTGAGAAATAAATATCTTGTTTTAAGCACTCACACTGTGGGACTCTTACAACAGTTGAAATAAATCGAGACGCCATGTTTGGCTAAAACGGCACCAAGGGAAAAGCTAAGAACTGGCCAGAGTGTTTGGTGAGCTCTGGGGCTTTGGACCATTGTGATGGTCTCCCTGCTCAGAGTTGCTCTTGCCTCTGACAGAGTCAGGTCGTTCCCCTCCCCCACCCTTCCTTAGCAAAATAATGCTGGCTCCGCCATTCTCTATGCCACAGTTCCGGACCGGTGGCCTCCAGAGCTCTTGGTGCACTTTCCTGGAGACCGGTATTCCAATCTGCAGGTTTCATTGGATCAACAAAATGCTAGAGAACATGCTGGGACTTGGCCTATGAAAAACCTCCACTGGTGCTGGCCTTAGGGTATGTGTGACATTACTTTGGCACATAGGCTGTGACAGGCAGTGCTTTCCAGGATGCAGAATACAGGACTTTGGTTCAGAGACAATATGAGACAAACAAGTCTAGTGCCCTGGCGGGTTAATACAAGATGACTTGTGTTAGCAGCATTGGCCTGGGGCTGGGGGCTCAGACTTGGAACAGGGGCTCCTGAGAAACTCTCGGGATAGTTTTGAGAATTGTTTTTCCACTGTTCTTTATGATATTTGACTTGTGTTTCTTGTCTTCATTGTTTCTTTCCATCCTGGCTGCCATACATAATTACTGAGTACTTACCAAGTGCCAGGCTCTGGTACAAGCATTGTGGTCATGGGTCTTGAATAAGAAACACAGGTCCTTGGCTGGGCGAGGTGGCTTGCCTATAATCCCAGCACTCTGGGAGACTGAGGCAGGTGGATTGCCTGAGCTCATGAGTTTGAGACCAGCCTGAGCCAGAGTGAGACCCCATCTCTAGAAATAGTCAGGTGTCGTGGCAGGAGCCTGTAATCCCAGCTACTCAGGAGGCTGCGGCAAGAGAATTGCCAGAGTCCAAGAGTTTGAGGTTGCTGTGAGCTGTGACATCACGGCACTTTGCTGAGTGACATAGTGAGACTCTGTCTAAAAAAAAAAAGGAGGCCCGGGGCCTGCAGTTGGCAAGCTGAAGACACGAGAGCTGATGGCTCCAGTCTGGGGTGGGAGAAGACCGAGCTCTGTCTGCTGGGCATAAAAGAGTAGATGAGGCAGTGCCTGTGGCTTAGTGACTAGGGCGCCAACCTCATATACCAAAGGGTTTGAACCTGGCCCTGGCCAAACTGTAACAAAAAATAGCCGGGCATTGTGGCGGGTGCCTGTAGTCCCAGCTACTCAGGAGACTGAGGCAAGAGAATTGCCTAAGCTCAGGAGTTAGGGTTGCTGTGAACTGTGATGCGACAGCACTCTACTGTGGGTGATAAAGTGAGATGCTGTCTCTTAAAAAAAAAAAAGAGTAGATTCCCCCTCTTCATGTTTTGTCCTGTTCAGGCCCTCAGCAGACTGGAGGATGCCCAGGAGACACACTGAGGAGGGCCTTCTGCCTGACTCAGGCTGTCTACTCAAGTGCTAATCTCACCCCAAAGTCCGGACACATTCAGAAATTATGTTTAACCAAATATCTGGGCACCTCATGGCCCAGTCAAGCCCATACAATGAACCATCACATCCCAGAGGGCCTTTGGTGGCTTTGGAGCTGTGTCCTTCTTTCCTATTCTGTCATGTCCTGGCCCCTCTCCCTCCCTTCTTTCCTGCTCTCTCTCTCTGCTTCAACCTTGGGGAGACTCTCAGTCTGCCCTCTGCTCCCCAGCATCATCGCTCTGGTGGAGGAGACCCCTGGCTCAGGACTGTCTCCTCAGAGTCCCTGGGTGGGTGGAGAAGTGACTCCATGGCTGCCTCAGCCTCTGAGAGCCCCCCAGTCTGTAGGCTCTGACCTGGTGCAGGTAGCACTTCTGATGACAGCTTGAGACAAAATGATATGATGTCGGCACCTCCCCAGCCTGGCCACGGCTTTGGCTGAGTCTTGTGTTGAGGTGGGAGGTGGGATTGCTGCCTCTGCCTGTTCACAGCCCCAAGAGTGCCACTACTGGGGGTGCGGTCGAAGGCTTGAATCCAACAGAGCCCTGCCAAAGTCGTAACTCATCTCTCCTAGAGTACTGGGGAGACGGTGCCCCAAACTGGGGAAATAACGTCAGAGCCTTGTGCCAGTAGGTTCCGGTGGGTGAGTTTTCCCCTGATGAGTCTGTTTTCTATTCATTTAGTCTGTGTCAAGTGATTCATGCTGATCCACAGGCTCTGCTGTTTCCTGGGAAGTCACAAGCCCTGCACGGTGGGAGAGAGCCGGGGTGGGGCAGGGAGTCATTCACCGAATGAGTGAGTGAGCAGGGGAAGGACACCCGTGTCTGCTGGCTGCCCCCCAGGATTTGGGAATGAACGTGATTCTCAGGAAGAAGAGGAGCTTTAAAATTCCACTAGTTAAAATGGTCACTTTTACTGCCTGGATATAAAATTCCTGTAAAACAATGGGGACGTTGGGGGCGTTGAGAAGGGAGGGGGAGCTGGGGTAGCAGCATCTGTCATCAGGTTAAAGGAAATAAAATATCCTGAGCGGGAGCCGCAGCTCAGCTGGGGAGCGGCCTCCTGAGACACGGCATTGCACAAATAATAGGCAACGATTTAGAGCTCTCTGACTTGCCTGCGGGTCTCGGGTCATTGTCATTAACAACTATGACAGTGCTGCCTGCATGATGGTAGAGGGTCTCTCCTGCATCCCCACAGGTGCCATTTGGGTCTTAGTTCAAATGTCACCTCCTCAGGGTCAGCCCCAGCACACCCCCTCTATTGTGTTCTGCATACCAGGGACCTTGATCTGACCTATTTATTCACACATTTGTTGTCTACCTCCCTGGGCTATAACCTGAGCTCCCCCAGGGCAGGCCCTGGGGCCACTCATGTCCCCCACCTCTAGAACCATGCCTGGCACTGAGCAGTGGCACAACCAATATGCATATTGGTTGAAAAAGCAAACGAATGAGTTCCAGGTAGCACACGAGGTGCCCTGCAAACCTGAGCCCCGTGTAAGCATCCTCACAACTCCAGGTAAGAACCACTCTCGTCCTGGTTTTCTAGGTGAGGAAACTGAGGCTCAGAGGAAGTAGGCAGGTTACAGGAAGTAACTGAGCCAGCGTGGACTCAGCTGCTGGACTCCAAAACTGTACTCTTGGTTGTAACAGTTCATGTGTATGGAAGGCTCGCTCTGTGCTGGATGTGGGGCCAGGCCCTTTATGCGGGTTCTTCTGCGTTGAGCCACCCCCAAACCCTGTAAGCAGGTACCACTATTCCTCCCCTATGACGCCATCATCCTACTGTTGAAATAACTGGTAGGGCCTGGGAGAGACTTGCCGGGCTGGATGCAGCTCTCCAGCGACGGAGCAGGAGTTAGCCACAGGTGGTGTGAGGCTGCACAACACGGCCTCTCTTCACCTACCTGTGTGCCCTCTCTGTGCAGTGGGCGCAGCCTGGCAAGGTCGGTATGGAGTGGTGCGTTTCTTGGGCTGTGTGCTGAGCTCCTGGAAAAGCAGCCAGCAGCTGCTGTAAGCACCCAACACGACCTTCAAGCCTCAAATCAAACATCTCAGATCCATGTGGGAGAGTCAAATAAGCAGAATATTCCTTCTCGCTACCTTGCTCTCTGTAATACCTGATGATCAGCAGCATCACAGTCAAGTTCATCTTACCATGGTGACAGTGGGTACCACCAGCATTGCCCTTGGACCTGGGCAGGCAAGACTCTATCTTAGGTCCAGCACTTTGGAGGGCCCTACTCCCGCCTTCCTCTAGCTGGCTCTTCCCGAGGGAGTAAGGAAAAATGGAACTCTGGGCACAGGCCCACTATGAATCAGTGTGTTCTTATAAAACATTCTTTGAGTACTCAGGATTCCAGAATTTCCTGCAAAAATGATCCCAAGTTCTGGTGTGGC